GGCCGAGCCCTCCGCCGCCGCCGCCGCCGCATCGTCAACCGCTCCCCAAACCCTAGCCATCGTCATGGAGTCATCGGTGGATTGCTCAGTTTGTTTGGACGGGTTTGGGGACGGGGATCAGTGCCGGAATCTTCCTCTGTGTGGGTACTCGTTTCATAGGGATTGTGTTGATCGGTGGCTAATGAGATCGCCAGCATGTCCGATATGCCGATGTGGGGTTGCGTTGGTGCGATGAATGAAGTCTTTCCATCGGTAGATGTAGTAGATTATTTACGTGCGTAAGCTAAGCTCGCTAATTTTGACTGTTTTTTTACTGCAATCTCCTTGCTCCTCCTCGGATTCCAAAAATATCACCTTTTTTTAACTGCAGCAGAGGCGGGTGAAGTAAGCGATTCGAAGAAAAAGAAGCGATTTTTTTATTTTCTGAATCTTTTTCTGAAGAAATATTGAGAGAGGAAGAGAGAAAATCGTGAGGATTTTCAAAAAAGTGTACTGTTAAAGAACGCAGAATGATGCTTGAATTTTGAATGACGACAATAGCTTTTTCAAGGTGAACGTGGTTTGGGTTGTGAAACCAGGGCCGGTCCTGAGCATTCGGGGGCCCTAGGCAAAAACTTGAACAAAAATCTTAAAGGGGCCCTCCTATATTCAAGATTTAAAAAAAAAAAAATAAAGTGTTGCACCCAAGTAACTTTAGGGATGCCTACATAAAAAATTATATACAAATACTAAAATACATAAGATCAACAAATATTATAATTTATAAAGTTATAAAATTACCTTGAAAAATTTGAATAGTTTAACTTCAAACAAATTTCAGATCAACACGCCTGAATCCTAAAAGATGCACTTTTATCTCTTCTTCCTATTCAATAGACAAAAACAAAGTTTGGACTTAAAGATTTTTTTGGGACACGATGCAATCATTTTAAGTATGGATCACTAGCTACTGATTTTCATTGTTCAGGTACCGCACTTTGATTATACATCCTGTATGCATATTATGGTTTCTTGTTTCAATTGATTAATCACTAATCAGCAAATATATTAAGTATAGTCTGCTTCATAATTTCATATATGTTATGCACAGATTCATACTTTGTTTATACAACTAATTCATGTATGTTAATAATGTTATGCACAGATTCGTGCTGTATAGAATCAATAACAAAGCAAAAGTATTATTAGGTCATGAAGTGATGAAACAAAGATATCATTCTATTCTAAGTATAGTCTGTTATCTGTATAGAATTATAGAAATATTCAATTATTCAAATATACTTATATACCTTGTAACCTTGACGGAGTCGCCGGCCAGAGGAGGCGCAGATGGCGGACTGCGGACGGTCCGGACGGAGTCGGGAAGAAGAAACGTCACTTCAGAGAGAATCAGAGAAGAAGAAGAGAGGTCGGCGATCAGACGGCCACTTCGGAAATCGGAGAGACCAAGGGTTTTTCGTTTTTGTATTTATAGCCTCTAACACTTTTGCATAAAAATCCTCTTACTTTTCCAATTTCCATATATATATATATATATAATTACATGGGGGCCCCTGTTTTTTGGGGGCCCTAGGCGCAGGCCTCTCCCGCCTGCCCCTGGGGCCGGCCCTGCTCCCATGTTCAAATAGCGTGGGAAGTTTTTTTCAAGGAGAACGTGAGTTGTAAAGAGGAAAGTTTGGAGAGAGAGTACGAAGATGAGTTGGAATTTTTCAAAAAATATGTTTGCCCAAAGATGTATTACTGTTCATTCATTGTTCTCCTTTAGTTAAAAGAAGTAGTAGATAGTTACATAGGAGTAGGGTGGAAACGAACCAAATATTTAATAAACAATTCGGCTAATATTCGTCCAAATATTCGGTTATATTCGATCCGACAGTTCATTTAATACTAAATGAACATTTTTTAGTATTCGGCTTATAAACAAATAAAATTTAACCAAAGGTTTATTCGATTTGGCTGATTATTAACTATTCGATAAGTTTTTACATGTTAATTCTTTTAATTAGACTTGTAAATATTCCGCATCAAAAAATCTATTACTAACTTCTACCCTTATATATAAATATAGACTTGTTAGAGGACCTAGGGTTTTCACCATCCCTTCCCCTTTCCGCCTCCGTCCAACTGAATACCTATTTTTCTCTCTCAGCCGACGACTCTCTCTCTCTCTCCGAGGACCTGCGATCCCGCGANCGACGCCGTCGTCCCTCCCCGCGACGACGCCGTCGTCCCTCCCCGCGACGACACCCTCCTCCTTCCCCGCGACGACTTTCTCTTCCCTCTCCGAGGACCTGCGATCCTCTCTCTCCGACGCCCTCCTCCGGCGAAGACGCCGTCCTCCCTCCCCGCGACGACGCCCACCGGTAAAAGTTCCAGCCCTGATTTCCCTTTTTGTATTTAGAAACAAAAATTTTTAATCGAATGTTGTTGATCGAATAGTTAACGAACAGATATCGAATAGTTGATGAATAACTTGATATCAAAACATGAAATATTGTTAATCGAATGTTGGCGAATAGTTATCGAACACGTACACAACTAAACGAAGCGAATTCGAATTCTGAATATTATTCGAGTCGAATTCGAATTCTGAATATTATTCGAGTCGAATTCGAACATGAATACTAATAGTGCCATTTGAGCCGAATTCGAATAAGGCACTATTCGTTCAAATTCGATTCGTTTCCACCCCCTACATACGAGACAACTAATTGAAAAGTTAAGTAGGCCAAGAAATAAGAAAAATCTAATTTGGGCCAAGTAAACTTAGGGGGTCACAATTAATGTGCGAGCCCATTTTGTTCGTACTTACATAAATACTCTCTCTAACAGGTCCAAACCGGAAATTTTCGCATCGGATCCAATTAAACAGATCCAACCCGACCCAAATCGCGAGTCGCAAAATCCCTAGCGCCCTCTTCTCGTTGCCCTCTTGCTCTTTCACGCTCCGGCTGACTAAACCCCAGCTCGAGGAGGCGATCGATCGACGACGAAGGCCTCCGATTGATCGACAGCGGCGAGTTTAATAATTTATCAATTTGCAAAGTTTTATCAGTTGAATTCGGAATTTGCCAGAAGTATGGGGATGGAGTTGCAAGATAACGAGGGCATTGCCATGGAGGTGCAAGATGATGGAGAGGAGAGAGATTTCAGTGATGCAGAGGCTTTCTCTTCTGTAGTCGAAGCTCTCACTGGAGTTGCCATGGTTAGGGTTTTGATTTTCCCCCCTTTTGGGTAGCAAAGCTTATATCTTTCGTCGTTTAGCTTAGATTCTAATTTAGCTTAATTTTGGAGAGCAGTGCTGAACTTTTGGACAAGGAACTTATTTTGAAGCTAAATGTTTGTCTTTTTAAACTTCTTTTAGTTTAATTCCTGATAAACTTTTTGTGTGTCTATTGTTTTTTCATTAGCTTCAGAGATGGGAACCAAAATTATTTCTTGAGGTTTCAATGATTATGTTACATTTGTTTGGAAACGGGAACACGGAAGGAAACTGAAATATTAAAAGAAATCAAAAGCTTTGAGACCTTAATCGGGGATCAAACCCATCCTTCTATAGCATGAAAATTGAGAGCTTTAATCTGAATATGAGAAATTGCTAATGAATAACATGCCATTATAGAAATCTCCATTTTTTAGTTCCCGTTTGGAAGGTGTCCTTTAATTAGTTAATCCCAAATCCAAGTGCTGGTATCAAGGTGTCATAGAATCAATTATAACTTAAAGGTCATGTTTGGTTGTGCTGTCAATTTCCTTTTAAATCATTGTCTAACTTTATAAAAGTTTTACCGCTGAACAATGAGAAAAGGATGAAGCGGTCAACTGGCTATACTTGAGCTGGATATAATGTTTATATAACCCCACAATTACTCTCAGAGTAGATGAAGTTTCTATGTTTTGTGCTTTATGACTATAGTGTTTGCTAAAGCTCTTTTTTGGACTGTGTATGTCTTTCCAGGCATATAATATGGTAGATCAAAGTGATAGAAATCAGTATAACAATTTAGTTAGCATTGTAGACCCAACACCAGGGAAAGGTCCTGAAGAGGAGGCATTGCTTGTGGTATGCTGTCAGGTTCATGTTTTTCTTCTCGAGTATCGCCTGGAAGTTGTTCTTGGGATCTAACATCATGCTATTTGTTTTTCAGACAGCTTTAAAGGCACTCACAGGAGCCATCTCCAAGATGGACGTTGCGTTTCATACCTCTTTATTGAGTAATGTATGTTTGAAAGCAAGTTCTTTTGTCCCTTTCACTACCTCTCTAGTAACATATGTTAAAGATATATGACTATGAGTTTTACCTTTATGAATGCTATTTCTTCACTGCTTTCTCCAGATATTTTCCTTGTGCATATGGAACTATGGTTATGAGACAAGGAAAGCAATATTGGAGTTGATAATTAGCCTGGTATGTTCTTTTCGGATAGCAGTCAAATATTTGTGACCATTGTGTAACGTAATGCAAAATTTTTATTGTCTTTGTTATGTTTCATCAGGCTGCTGTACCAGACAAGTTTTTGAACAGTTGCTTGCACATGCTTGTTAGTAATTTTATGGCGCCTAAAAGAATACGTCAATACAACACACATCCAAGGCTTGCAGAAAAAAGAAATATTTATGGTGAGCTTTATGTCGCCTTGCATCATATTGTTGATTTGGTGCCTCTTGCTCCTATGATGCTGAAGGAAATAATTGATAAAAAGATGCCAAGAACTACTGACCCCAAAGAGGTACTGTGGAAGCATTAATTGTTACTCCGTTTTCTATTTTTGTTTTTAGGCCATCTTTCTTTCTTCTATGGTCCATCACTAGTTTGGATTGTCGAGAATCTCATCTGCTCCTTCTGGTGTTGCTAGCCTTCCATCTTTTGTTGTTTTTGTTATATTCTCAGAGTCAATGGACATTTCCAGATTCTTGACAAAGACGCAAGAAACTTAATTTGTGCAAGACTTGGAAATTACATGAGAATATCTTTTGCTTGGACCGTGTAAAATGTCCCTTGTGTGTACTAGACACAGTCAAAGCAACTAGGCAAGCCAAGCAAACTAAAGAAAAAAAAACAAAAAAATAAGGATACTTGATACAACGGGAACACGCGAAAATGACTTCTTTTGTATTGTCTGGAATATGAAGCTTATGTACATGTTCTGGGCATCCTGCTTTTACCTGGTTTACTGTTTTCCTTGTTGTATTTCTGCCATGGGTAAATAATTTGAAAACGCCTATTTTTTATAAAATTAAACATTTAAACTATTAAATTCATTGCCAGTTCATGTCATTCTTGGAACTTTGCATGAATTAATGTTTTACTTGAATTCATGAATTGTGTTATTTTAGGGCTTCAGGTAAGCTTGTCGAAAGAGATGCAAGAATTTAGTTCTACTTTGGTAGTTCAATGTTTGTTCTCTCCATATTGCTCTCTGTAAGCTGCCTAGAACCTCCGTATGTTAGGTATGATCGTGTTATATTTTTCTTGTAGGTGCTTGTAATGTTTGTGGAATGCATGCTTGGATTGGAGAGTGATGAAATCGGAGAATTTCTTGGAAGCACATTGTTGATAAAGGTGGTGGAACTGCTTGTGGATCTAGATGTAAGTATCATTGCTGTTTTAATTCTTTGTAGGCTTAGGTTTTCAGTTTACACTTATCAATTTACGAATGAATGTCAGGTAAATATAAATTGGGAGGATATTCCACAAGATGAACTTAATAAAGGCATATTTGACATGGAACTTGATGTGGAGGAAAATGCTCATGATGGTGCAGGGATTGGTATAAAGGTTATTTGCATATACAATAGTGACTAGTTTTTATTAGCATATCTCTGTGGGGTTTTTCTTCTTTCTTTCTTGTAATGGAATCTGATCCTTGGCCTTTTTCTACAGCCAGAAACAGGAAAGATCCTCAAGGGTAATGTGTTTGCCGATAAATTGGACAGTTTGATGGTGCTCGTATGTGAACATCTTGACTCATGTGCATCTGATGGTCATTTGGTGAAGGTAATTCTAATACTTTATAATTTGATCACTTCATTAATACATTTCATATTCATATGCCTATGAAGAAAATAATCGTTTCTTTTTATTGGTGGTAGTTCATCATTGAAGTTATGCTGAATATAATTGTATCTTTAGGTGCTATGATTTTTAGTGAATGACAAGAAACTTAAAGACCTTTAAAAGATTATATAACTTTAAATAGACAAGTCATGTAATGCCCTTTTGTTATTATACTTTTACGACAATGAAGTGTAAAAAAAATTGCAATGTAAAAGGCTCCTCTATGATATGGCTTACTGTTTGAAGCCTTGAGTGCTCATGTGATACTTGGCGGGAGATTTGAGTTCTAAGTTTGGAGTTAGACGGGCCCTTGCTCTTTGATTGCATTTGCAGGTTAGGGTCCTTCATTCTAACTGTATTAGCAAGGCAAATTACCCCTTCAGATTTGATGTGTTCCTATAAACTAGTACTTGACCAACTTTTTCTCTGTGATGTTTATACTTAGAGCTATTCTTATAAGGTGTATAAATGTTTTGTTTTGAATGTATATTGCTTCATGAGTAATTTGTACCAGATCCATAATCGAATAACATGGATATTGGTTGTGTTATTGCCAAACTTGACACCTTTTATGCCATCCACTAGCTCATTGGCAATGTCAATTACTTCATGCATCTGTGAACCCCCTTGTAGTGAGTGTTAATAAAAAAGAAGCTAAAGTTTGATATTCCAAGTAAACTTGGATTTTACATTCAGGCGCACTTTTTGAAAATATCTTTTTTTGAATATATTGGATATTCTCAATGACCACTACTTGGTCCGTCTCAAAAAATTGCATCTCTTTTATTGTCCTATGGTGTCTTGACATCTTTCTTTGATCACAAAAAGGTTTTTGACACACTTGCGGAATGCTTTCGGAGGACCGTGATGAATGCATACAAGTCAAAGTTTGTTCAGGTATTGCTTAATATCTATATTGTTGTATAGGTGGCAAAGTGTCCAAAGAACTCTTACTTCTTGTATTTGTATTAGCTGGAAGTTCACATGTTTTCCTTATACGGCCTTAGATATGCATTTGATAGCTTGAACATTCAGCTTGTAAAATCTTAGTTTGACATGGTTTCTATCTTCTGCAGTTTGTGATGTTTTATGCATGTTCTCTGGATCCTGAAATTTGTGGCCTGAAGTTTGCTGTTATGCTTACAGATATTTTTGTCTCAAACACCGAAGATCCAACTTCCAGGTATTTTTCATGAGATTTCTGACAGTGACTGATGCCTTCAGTTTCTCCGCTATTATTGTTCTTTATTTAAGATTTTTAAGAATGCTCTCCAACCAAGTAGATATCTGTCCAATCTGGTATTAATGATTAAATTTACCAGATCCACTAAATGATGGAAAACATCAGAATGGGCATTGCCTGTGCAGTCATCTAGTGGGGAAAAGTTATGGTTTATATCTTTGATCAGGATTAATAAGCAGCGTTAGTTGCATCTTCACCCCTGGTATTATTGTGTTGTGGCACTTATTATCCCTAAGCTTCAAAATAGGCATATAATTTCCCCAACCGAACCTGAGAGAGAGAGAGAGAGAGAGAGAGAGAGAGAGAGAGAGAGAGAGAGAGAGAGAGAGATTACCCTGTGGATCTATTTGCAAAAGAAACTCCATCCTAGTTCGTCTCTCGACCTGCCTTCTCATACCCATCCACCCTCTCTATACCAGTCATCCCCTCCAGATTTTGGATTTTTTTCTCTCAAGAAAATTTTATTTATTTGCAAATCATGTGGGGGATCCAGTGAGAAAAAGGGTCCTATGTGAAATTAACCCAAATATTGAAGTTATCTAACTTTTATACATGCTTTTGATACTCTTGGAGTCATTACGTGACTGAAAGTTATATACTTTTTCCTCGAGACATTGTAGTGATACAGTTATTGGTCTTTTTCTCTGGATGCAGAATGAGTTCAGTTTCATATCTTGCTAGTTATTTATCTCGAGCAAAATTTGTCCCATCTTCTCTGGTGGCAAGCATTCTGAAAAGGTCAGAGGATTTATCTTTCTACAGATATTTGTAGTACAAGTCACTGTGCTTCATTTGGATAATTAGTAACGTGAAGTCTTTGATTCAGATTAGTGGAGTGGTGTTTTCAGTATTGTCAATTTCGGAATGGTTGTGAAAGTGTAGTGTACCCAAAAGCTCATCGAGTGTTCTATTCTGGATGTCAGGTAACAAATTACATTGCATATGCAACTTAACTGCTGGGTTCTATTTATTTTGATTTAATGTAAGCACCACACTTTGCATGAAATTGTAAGTTTAGCTGTCAAATTGCTACTATTTTTAGGAAAATTTGTGCCTAGGACCCTTTTTAAGAGCCTGCATGTGCTGCATCCCCTTCGACCTTTTTCCTTGTGTTTTCCTCCTTGACATACATTCTCACGTGAAAAACGCCTTTTCATGTTGCCACATCATTAGAAAGCAAAAGCAACTGTTTTTAGTTAATAGTCTCTAAACTACCCTCACCCAACCTTTCATCTCCTTTTTATTCTCTTGAACCAGTGAAAAATGTTTCCACCTCCTCAACCATTACCACTTTCACCACCATATTCTCCATTGCATTCTCCTTCTTTTTCTTCTCATCATCTCTCAATCATTATCTTTTTTATAGCCACTTCTAAGCCATTTTCCCTCTCTTTGCAGCTATCTCTACTGATTTTCCTTTCGCAACCGCTGTCGCGTGACTCAAAGCCTGTCACATTTGGCTTAAAGGGACCATCTCTTAAAGTTATGCTGAAGTTAAAAAATTCTAGTAATTTAACTCTTTACCATTTTAAGTTTACTCGAAGAGAGTTCAAAGCCATGTTAAATTTAACATTGAAGCTTTAAGTTAACAAGTAATCTTTAAAATTAACATGTGATGTCTAAAATGAACTAATAATTAAGCTTTTTGTCGCCACGGCCTCTCCTACCTATCTTTCCTCTTTTCTCACTCTATAGTCCTTCCACGAAAACTGGTGCATCCCCAAAAGTCCGTCTCTTTTGGTTTAAATGAACATTTTTTAGTTTTAACTTTATATTTTGAATGTAACTTAAATAACTACCAATTTTAAGTTTTACTTTAAAACCAGTAAAGATTTTACCACTTAAAATTTAAAGTTAACACTAAAAATTTAAAGATAACACCTCAAATTTTAACGTTAACACTAAAAAATGTCGCTTAGAGAAAGAGATGACCTTTGAGGAATACGATGTTGGTTGTGGAAGAAAAAAGAATAGAGATGGTTGAGGAAAAACAGAACATGGCAGAAGAGATGGCGTGACGGTGAAAAAGCTTAATTGTTAGTTCAACTTAGATTTCACATGTTAACTTCAAAGCTTACATGTTAACTTTAAAGCTTAGTAGTTAACTTTTAAAGTGTTAGTGTTAAGTATAACCGTTGGGTATTAAGTTTAACTATTAGGTGTTAGGTTTAACTGTTATGTGTTAATTTTGACGTGACTTTAAAAAAAATGTAATGTTCCGTTTTAAGCAAAAGTGATGGTCTTTGAGTCATAGGTCGTGGTTGCAGGATAGAGGAGAGGAGAGAAATGTAGAGATGAAATGAAGTAAGAGGGAGAAATAAGATAGAGATGTAAGTGGAGGAAGGAGGTGGAATGTGAGAATGAGATGGAAAAGAGAGGAGGGAGGAGAGAGAGTGGAGGATGACAGATGAAAATAGAGTTTTGATGGAGGAGCGACGAAAGAGGAGAATGAAATTTGTGTGGAGAAGAGAGGAAGAGGGAGATGGGCATAAAAGAGAGAAGGGTGTAAGTTGGAGAACAGCGGAGGAGTGCAAAGGTGGGAGTAGGGAAGAGATAGGACGGAGGAGAGAGGAGGGAGGAAATGGAATGGAGGAAAATTTTTAACATGAGGAGGGAAGGATGGGAAGAAGAAGATGATGAGGGTACTTTAGGGATAAGAAAATAAAAGGGGGTGCAAGAAGGAAAAGTTGGAAAAGAAGTTTAGACACATTTGGCTTTGGTCAATGGGTTAGGTCAAATGAAGATTCTTAAAGAGGGGCCTAGTCACAAATTTTCCTTATGCCTATACTCGGTAAAAGTTATCTAGTCTGTGGCTTATTTATTTCATCCGTTGCTTTGGTGATTGCTATGGACCTATGATCTGTTTTCAAATCGATTTAATTGCAAGTGTTATTGTTAGACTTGTAATGTTAATAATACTTAAAAAAAATTCTTGTTGATCTATAAATAGCCAATCTTATTATTGTGAACTTGTAGACATAAGAGCTCCTTCTACGCTTTCGCTTTTTAGCGTGCTGTCTATTGTTATTTTCCAGCTATCGTGTTCGTGTTAATGTGATCTAGCCACTTGCTTGATATGGTCACCTTCACTTTTGCCTCGATTTTCCATTATTTATTGTGTGACATTTGCATTTGCATTTGCATTTGCAACCTAGCGTGCATTAACCTCAGTCATTTAGAAACTAATTTGGTTTGTTTGCATCTTGCAGGCTGTGATGTATATTTTATGCTTTCGCATGAGACAATTAATGGATATCCCTCAACTCAGATCACTATTATTTCATTTGCCCCTCGAGCCCATCTTGTGTAGCTCATTGGAACCTTTAAAGGTAGTTTTCTATGAAATGGTCTTAATACTTGTTACAAACTGATTTCGAGCAAACTAAAACAATGTCAGAATTACATGACTTTCTTAAATCAGCAATGTATTGTCACAGTTCATATCCTTCGGATGAGGAATCTAGGATAATTGTGTTTAATTGCTTGTGTTTTAACAGGTGTGTTTGCCTACAATAGTACATGAATTCTTACGACAAGCCAAGGCTGCTTCCTTGTTCAAGACATCTACTTGCTTTCCCTATGATAACCTACTTGAGTCTGAGTTCTCTAAGGCTTTTGGAGGGATAGAAAGGCTGGACATGTTCTTTCCCTTTGACCCATATCTGCTGAAAGAATCAGACAGGTTTTTTTCATGCTTCCAGCTAATTATAATTTTCGCCTTTTGGAATTTATCCTAGACTCATTATATCTTTTATTAGGAATTAGGATTTGACACCTAAATCTAAATACCTGGTTACTAAGCTAATTATTCAAGTGTTGGATGCATTTAAGATTGTGATTATACAAGCACTGGTTCATCACACCCCATCATAACCCTTAGCAAAACTGAATGGAAGAATATGATTTATGTAGCTGAGGCGTGAACCTAAAAGTCGGGATAAAGGCTTTGTTGTCTTTTTTTTTAGCATGCGGTTAATGTCTCTGGTTTTCCTTAGGTTCATGAGGCCAAACTTCGAGTTCTGGTCCATGGTGAAGACAACGTATAGCAACTGCAACAGTGAGGATGAGGACGAGGATCTTGATGCCTTAGATGACAATGCTGAACATGACAACCTTGAATCCAACAGCGAGAGTGACGATGAAATTGAGTTCTCTCTGAGCAGGATGTCAATAACTCCAAAGCCTGCATTCCACTACCCCATGGCTGGTAACCTTCATAATGGTGCTCGAATGCCTGCCAGAATTAGACCGTCTATGAGCCCTGAAGACTGATATCTACCTCTCTTGTGTTTTGATTCATTCACACATTCTGGCAAAAAGGAGAATACTCCTTGCAGTGGAACTGTATGGCTATTGTACTGTAAAATCAGTAAGTTATTTTCCTAGGATTTGAGGATTGAATTTGTTGGCCCAGTTGTAAAGTGATACAACATTATTTCTCAGTTGATATAGATTATACTTTCGCCGAAGTAAATATTATGCGTGGGATATTGCTCCAGGTGTTCTCGCCTGTTGGGACTTTTTTTATGCATGTATCGTGTAAGTGCAGTTTTTGTTCTAGACTTAAATTGTTTCTTGAGCTCAGTCATGGAGGGTAGCGATTCATGTTTAGATCCATCTATTGTCTCTCGATCATATCGAGCAAGTGTTTCAATGTCAGATTTTTACGTGAGTTGTGCTAAAATAAACAATTTTGTTATCCAATTGTGAAGTATAACCAGCTGGTTCTTGTGTTCTTAAGATCCATTGTGGATGTAAAATTTTACGTGCCGTTGATAATGTAAATTTATAGGAACAAATGTGTCTACAATGCTGATTATTGCTTACAGTTACTGCATGCCGATAATATTATATTTCAAAATTCATGATATTAATCGCTATCATGATACTGAAATTTATAGGAGAAGTCTGCTTATACTATTTTAACCAATTGATTTCTGTGGAAGGAAAACATTAATTGAGAGAGGATAATCCGACTCATGCATCCCGTGCTGACTTAAAAATATTTACTGATAATCCCACATCCGCATGTACTTCCCAAAAACCGCTGGGTTGTTTAGATATTAGTCCCTTACATCTTCCATAATTTCAAATTAATGGCTCAAATTTCAATACTTGCTCTTTAGTCCCTCAGGTCCCAAGGGATCTTGCTGGTCTGTAAATAACAAAAGTACCCTTCAATTATATTTTCCCTCCCAAAAGATGGAAATTTTGTGGTATGAAATTTAAATATAAGCAAATTTTGGGGTATTAAAATGTTAGGAAAATTTTTTTGGGGTATCAAAGTCATGAAAGTTGTAAACTCTGGAGCATCAAAATGTCAAAAATATTTGGGCCGTTAAAAGTTTAATAAAAGTGTAAAGGTTAGACTGTCACATTGCAAATAACTCTTAAAAAATATTAATTAAGCGTATTCTAGTTATTGATGGACCAAATTGCAGGCATCTTTTACGTTTTGAAGCACCAGTCAGCAGGTACTGAGATTCGTGGGATTTATGGGATTTTGGAAGATATAACGGACTAATATCTAAATAACCCCCTTTCAACCCAATAAAGAACAAATTTTCGAATTAAACTCATTCCGTTTTTTTTTAAATCGACCCTATCTTTTTATTTACAAGAATCGACCCACTTTGGAGCCAAGTCAGCATCGTGGCCCTAAAGCGGGCCGATTTTTTTTAATCGCATTACTAAATAGTCACCCCGACTAATTTAGCACACTGTTTAATTGGTCGGGGTTGGGAACCCCGACCAATTCGAAAGACTTTTTTCTAAACTTTTTTCTCTACAAATAAGATATGCAGGTATGAAAAAGGTACTTTCTGTCCCACTTACCTTAAACAATTGAGAAAAAAGGTACTTTCTGTCCCACTTACCTTAAACAATTGAGAACTAAAAAGCTGGAGGGCTAGATATTTTAACGTCCTTTTCCTTAACTAAGTTTTTGTCTGCTGTGAGCTACCAGCTATTCGTAGTTAGGTCTCATACATGTGCCCTATATCAGAAAAAGGCTTTCGAATTGATCGGGGTTCCCAACCCCGACCAATTAGAAAACATGCTAAATTAGTCGGGTTTGCCAACCCCGACTATTTAGTAACGTCGATTATACAGGGGTCCTAAATAGTCGGTGTTGACGATCCCGACTATTTAGCAACGTAATTTAAAAAAAGATAGAGTCTATTTTTTTTTAAAAAAAAAAATCGGAATGGGTTTAATTCGAAAATTTGTTCACCCAATAAACTCAGGGACAAAATGGTCATTCCATGTTTTCCAAAGGATACGCCGACGATACGCTACCTTCGTCAACAAAACAACGACCGGCTCTCTATAATTTAGATCCGAGTCCCTGTAGCTCACTTGCCCGGGGGAAAACGAAGAACTTGAGAATAAATCGGAGGGAGAGAGAGAGAGAGAGAGAGAGAATGCATTTCAGCGAGAACGAGGGCATTGAAGGGAAAAAGTTCGTCGTCACCGGAGGTCTAGGGTTCGTGGGGTCGGCGCTGTGCTTGGAGTTAGCGAGGAGAGGAGCTGACGAGGTCCGATCACTAGATCCTCGGCCCTCCTCCCCTTGGTCGATCGAGCTCAAGAAAGCCGGCGTCCAGTTGATCAGAGGTCTCCCTTTTCCCCATTCTACCCCTCTTGATATTAAATTTTGTCTGAATTTAGCATTCGTGCAGCGGTTTAAGGAATATTTTGGTTGAGTGATTTGGAAAGCCTATTCTTTGTTCCTTGTCTATTTTTAGACATTTTGGTAAGTTTCAAGTCAAATTTTCCCAAAATTTTATCTCAATTAACATGACTAGCTCCATTGACTCGAACAATTTAATCCACAATGAGAAGCGGAATAATGTGGAGATATACTATTCTGAGTATGAATTTCATTTTCGCAAGTTTTGTCGCAGATAACTAGCTTAGCGATTCGACAAGGCTGCCAGTTTAGCTGATTTAGCTAAAATTTTTGAAAAATCACTTTAAAGTTACATCATTTTGGAGGGGTTAGTCAAGTAGAACTCAAAACTAGAATTGAGATAATTTGTAGGACAAGTTTTATAGTGTTATTATTGGAACTAGAACTAGAAGAAAACTATACAGTGCTAAGTCAACTAGAACAGGATAAAAAATAGAAGTGGGATAATGGTAAAAAAGTATCCCACTTTTGTCAAATCATACTCCCTTTAAAAATACGAGTTGGGAAAAATCTTTCTATGGTCAATATTACCCTTAACTTTTTTTAAATATTATATTGTTATCCTAATCTATTTTAATTTTCCTATCTTCTTTAAATTTATAATTAAATGATTTATCCTATCAATAATGAGACTTAACATGTTATTGGATAAAGGTGATATGTTTGATATAATTTAAATCTTTTATTTATTTTAGTTTGCAGAGAAATCTAAAAAATATATGCTAACCAGCACCTTAAATTTTTTGAACCTTGTAAAAAATACCCTCTAAGTTTTTAAATTGCAAAAACACCCCAACAAATTCAAAATTTTATTAAAACATCTTAAAAATTATAAATTTTACTTATTTCAATTCAGTGAAAAATCTGAAAAATATATGCTAGCTAAAAAATAAAAGTTTTTGACATTAGAGAAAGTATCTTGTAAGTTTTGAAAATACAAAAAACTCCTAAAATTCAAAATTTGTAAAAGACATCTTAAAAATTTCAAACCTATAAACACACTAAAAACCTACAAATAACACAAACAACCCCCAAAAATTTATAAAATTTGCAATAAACACTCTAAATTTTTTATAAATTGTAAGATAAAACCCTCAAGATTGTAAAATTTATAAAAATCCTGATAATTTTTAACCTAATAGTACATTAGAAATATAGGAGTTACAAATATCCCTTGTATAATATATAATTTATAGAAAACACCCTTAAAGTTTTAAAAATTACAAACAAACACTCAAAATTCAAATTTTATAAAAAACACCCTGAGAATTTCAAACTCATTAGTAAATTGAAAATACATGAATTATAAATAGTTTATAAACAATTTACAATGTATAGAAAAGGCCTATAAGTCTTAAAATTACAAATAACACCTAATATTCATAATTTATAAAAAACACCATGAGAATTTCTAACCTATAGACACTAAAATGAATATACAAAATTACTAGCAACCCCTAGAAAATAAAAAATTTACAAAAAAAAATATCATACTCACTTTAAAAGTATAGGTTTAGGAAAAAAATTTCATGATCAATATTACCCATAACTTTTTTAAAAAGAACATAACTAATTAAAAATCTATTAGATTTGAAATTTAATAAAAAAACAAACTTAAAGTTTAGTACATTAAAAATTACCCCTCCAAAGTTTAAAATTTTTCAAAAAAAATTATAGTTCCTTGATTTTAATATAATTTTTAATAGTTTTGTGTATTTGTAAATTATAAAAGTTTAGGCTGTTTGTTTTTACAATTTTAAAAACTTTTGAGGGTATTTCTTTTATATTTTTCTAAATTTTTATTGTGTTTTTAGTGTAATGCATATATACATCAATTAATAATGATATTGAAGAGTAAGTCGTTCTGAAGATGTATTAGGCTTATAATTAAGTGTGCACATTACTATTCCTAGATAGTATAGTTTATACATGCAAAAATTTTAAATAATCTATATAGTGGTTAAAAGGTTTTTGAGTTTAATGTACCATTTTTTATAAACTATATTTAATATGAACCCATCATATAACTTTAACTGTGGTCATTATAATTTTAATACGTTTAATTGATTGATTATATAGGTATATAAACCATAGATTACTTTACTTTCTCACATGAACTAATATTTGGTACTTAATAATTTAAATTATTACTTTTAAATTATATTTATTTATTTATCTACAGGATAATACAATTTTAATTCCTATTTTTTACTTGAGATTTATTTTATAATTACGCGTATCAAAGTAACTAAAATAATAATTATTTATACTTAAATTAGGACGACAGTAATTGGTCACTCACTATAAATTTTTTATGAAGATACATGCCTTACTTTCTATAGCTCTCTGCACTGTTCATGTATATTTTATAAATTAGTTGTTAATTTGACATATTAAATTACTTTTTCTTTGTAGAAATTTTTCTTTGACTTTTGGATTATGTAATCACTATATCACCATTCTAGCGTAGAAATGACCTCATTCTAAATAGCTTCAAACTAATATTTGACTTGAACTGAAGTATATACTATTGCTACTATATGTATATATTTTAAAAAAAATTATGTTAATACTTTTTAAACAGAAAAGAATATTCTAATTTTTGATATTATAAAAATAAAATATAACCAATTGAGTGACTAGCAAAAGAGGACTTATATCAGAAAATTATGAATAATAAGATAAAGAGGAAAGGTAATGACATTGCCAACAGTATTACCAATAGCAAACTACAATGTAAAGTTAACCTTTTTTGTGGAGCCCAACTACTGGCTATAAGTATCGAGGTTTCCATATATATACTTTATAATATTATTAATAATGGTATATAATTTTATATAATAAAATTGATTTAATACTGAATAGGAGTATCATTGTAAATGAGCAATTACAAAAATGTTAGGGACTAACATGTATGTATTTAAGATTTCAGGACGAATATCTTAATAACCTATTTATATAAGCACGCCCACTTTGTCACCTATTCTGTTCACTTTTCTCCTTGCTCATTCTCCACCAATTTTGTTGTCACGCTCGAAGAGAAATAAAATTCATGTCGGTGAGGTCTTCTCTCCCTCTATCCCGCGATCTCATATTTTTTAAATTAGTTTCTTTAATTCTTTTTAATAATTTCTTGGATCCATTTCATGATTCATTCTGTGAAGTGTCTTATTAGATTCAATTTAAATATACTTTTATTTTAATTGTTATTTTTCCTATTTATGAGTCAATTAATCACTAGAATATTTAGGTCTTTTTGCCAATTTCATATTTTGAATTAATAGTTTATTTTAGGAGAACTTTTAAAAAGATCACTTTTTAAAAATATTAGCAAAATTGACTGTTTTACATAATAATTAACAAAATTGATCTTTTTTTTGCCACACCATCAAGACTAGCATAGCAACAAAGAGGTCGATTTTGTATAAAAATCATCTTTAAAATACACGGTACTAATAGTCCTGTGTAATTAGAGAACATTAATTACAAAAGTAATTAAAGTCAGAAAATACACAGGACTACCACTCTTGCGTGTTTTGCAGTCAGAACCAGAAAATACATGAGACTACTGTTATGTCCTATATACAATATAATTGTTCCAAGCAAGTGGGTTATAATAGCATTTTTCATTCACATTGCTTGGAGTAAGATTTGATAGAGACCTTGCATCAAAGAGATTTTTTTTAATTTAAAGTACATGGCAAAATATATCATAATCTTCCTGCTCTAATTTCGCAAGAAAATAATTCTTCATACTTTCAGTTTTACTTCTATGGTATGGAGAATGAGCTATAAAATTGAATGAGAATATTAGATAATGTAAATATGAGTGAAATCACAACTAAAAGTTAATGTGAATATGAGTCAAACCACAACTAAAAATTTAATAGACATATTGCAAGTAAATTCATATGCAAAATTCCTTCGCGAATTGAATGATCAACCATATTTTAAAGACTTTAAAATACTAATAAACAAAGATATTGTATTAGATCAATGTGTTTATAACTCACGTGGCGACAGTCTTGATTGAAGGAAACAATGATAATATTTCATTTGAAAGAAAAATTATTGTGTTGATAATTAATCCCGCAAAAAAAATTATTTTCTCTTTTATTTTTATTCTATTTTTATTAATTTAAATAATCATAATATTCGACCACGTGCATTGCACGTGCAATCTAACTAGTTTATAAAGAAAAGAGAGAGTTCTAGTCTCTCAAATTGTGCCAATTTTTAAATTAGAACTGGGTGGTAAAAAACTAGGAACTTTCTTATTTGCTTTTTTATTTTTCATATTTCATCTCTCCATATCTTCAAACTATACCGTATAAGATTAGATCACATCTCTTCTTACCTTTCTATTTGATATTATTTTCATTTTTTATTAAATATTAGAATTGTATAATTAATTTAAATCTAAAAATGACAAAAATCATGTTTTTATTTATTTAAAATTTTATTATTTAAAATTGAGAGATGATGGAGTGATGTCTAGCAGATCGAAAAAGAAAGAGAAAAAAAATAAAAAATTTCTTAATTTGTATTACAATAATTTCAAAAAATCAAAATATTATAAATAATAATAATAATAATATATCATAACAGTATCCTATAGTCTAGCCAATAGTTCTTCAAGATTATTTAACACTAAATTAAATAATAATAATTATTATTATTAGTAAGTCTTAAAATATATAAATAGTAGTCTTGTCATCAAAATGCACAACTTATATGCTTATTTCTCATTGAAAATTATCCTTAAGTATACACCTTTCCCAATAAAATATCACATTTTAAAAAATTACTCCCAATTATCTCACTAAAATATCCCACTTCGAAAATTTATCTCATACTAAAAATTGTTCCACTTCTAGCAAAAATATTCCAATTGACTAACACCCCCCTAAGCTCTATCTTTTAGTTGGACAGAAATAGAGCCACTTAAACCAGCTAAAATGCTTGTTGTGCGTTATTATTTTTATAAATGATAGGTAGGACCCTTTCACTGAAAAGAAAATTGCTATCACTGCGTCATGCATGTGCTTTTATTTCCGAGTTCAACTATGTATGAAATCTTTGTTCACCTCAGAAGTATGCAAAATATGAAATATCATGTGGCTCTTTTTGAGGAAATTAACGGTTCCCTAACGTTGTTTTTTTTCTATTTTAGGCTTCCAACTTTTATCTATTATAGGCTTCCAACTTTTATCTATTATAGGCTTCTAATACATGAATAATGTCTTAATGCATACATTTCTATGGGCTAAATATACATAGATTCAAAACACACACGCGGGCGTGTCTTAATGCATACATTTCTATGGGCTAAATATACATAGATTCAAAACACACACGCGGGCGCGCATTCTCGTATCTGGAATTTGGGATGATTGCCTTGTCTTGTCCACCATGTCCATGAAGGGGTATAATATTCAGGCATCTTTTGTACCTAGGTTCTCATATATCTAAATATTGCAGGGGATGTGTGTGAGAAAAAGGATGTCAAAAAGGCCTTAAGTGGGGCAAATTGTGTTTTCCATCTTGCCTCCTATGGCATGTCAGGGAAAGAAATGCTCCAAGCAGGACGTGTGGACCAGGTTAACATAAATGGAACCTGTAATATATTGGATGCATGTCATGAGGCTGGGATCAAAAGGCTTGTTTACGTGAGTACATACAATGTAGTTTTTGGTGGGAAGGAAATTGTAAACGGGAATGAATCATTGCCATATTTCCCCCTTGATGAACATGTTGATCCTTATGGTCAAAGTAAATCTGTTGCAGAGCAGCTTGTTCTCAAAAGCAATGGTCGCCCATCCAGGTGAGTTTCTTTTCCAATTTATGTGCCTCTGTTTTGAATCATGAAATACATCTTTAATTAATGGCGTTTCTTTAGAAATCGTAAGCTATAACCCATCGCTGTTATCTCTCTAGGAATAATAGTGGAGTTCGTCTTTATACTTGTGCAATTCGACCTGCTGCCATCTATGGACCAGGTGAGGAGAGGCATCTGCCAAGGATACTCTCCCTTGCAAAGATGGGTCTCTTATCCTTCAATGTTGGTGATTCAAGTATTAAGACAGACTGGGTTTATGTGGATAACCTCGTGCTTTCACTGATAATGGCAAGCATGGGGCTATTAGATGATATTCCTGGTCGAAAACATCCTATTGCTGCTGGCCAGGCATATTTCATTTGTGATGGTAATGGCTTAACTCTACCTTCAAAACCTTGTATGATTATTGTTTCCTGGGTGCTGTTATCAAATTACTAATATGGTAATTGATGACCTTTATTTGTGAATAGCATGCCACTATGCTTTTGCAAATGTTTAATTAATGATTCAAAGCTCCAGTCATATCACGCTCATCCTGGAAAGATTTCCAGATATAGCTTTGACTTTTGTGTGTACTTGCTGGCACTTAATGCATTTTAATACGAATTCTTCATCATGGAAGATAAAACATATTTGGAATCGGTAACTTTCCTATAATATAAAAAAGCTTTTGGTTACATGGACTTCATTTCAATGGATTAGAGGCCACTGTCAAATAGCGGACATGGACAGCCAGCTCTAGCATCCTGCAATATATACTAGAATCAGTGACTAAGGTTTTAGTTTGTCTTTGCACTGTTGGCTCCACACTAAATTGAGTTCTGATTACTTTATGTCGGCTTCTTACCAGCAGTTAAGCATGCATGTCGTTTCCATACTGAAAGCAGCTAAGCTGCCTACATTTACTGATATGCTTTTATAATAATTAATGCTTATTTTAATCGTCCACTGTACTTTTTGACTTACCTAGTTCCACTGCTTCTTGTAACTATTTGAGTGAGAAAGAATCACCTCTTGTGGTCTGTATCTATTTGAGTGGCAAAGAATCACCACTAATTTCACGCGTCATTTTATCTTCTAATCCTGATATCTCCTTTGAAGATTAGTACATGCATCCTCGGTTGTTAGTGATTATTCATTATTATGCATCAAGCAGAGCACGAAGTCTCGCAATCAAACAGAGAGTTACAGCTTATTATCTTTCGCCACTTGCTCCCAATACTCTGGTTTTCACTTTTTCCTGACTTTTAAGATTGTTGCTGTAAGATTTCAATCGATTCCATATAAAAATGTGTTTCCTGTCTCATTCCATGATTTGCTTAAGGGTTTGGTAATGTTAACTTTTGATATTGTTCACGATGAATAAGGTATAGCTAATATCATTTATCTCTCACATGCCATTTCAATTTCCTTTTGCTTCAGTGATCTTAATACAGGCATCCTTGTCATTATTGTTTCCCTGTCTGTTGTAGATTCTTGATTGTTCAGCTAGGATTCTTATACTTGAGAACTGATATCTTTGGACATTAAATTAACCGATTATCTTAATATATCTTGATATGGCGATTGGTTATTTTCAGGGGCACCAGTCAACACATTTGACTTTATCATTAGTCCTCTTCTTCAAAAATTGGATTATGATTTGCCAAAGATTACATTGGATGTCAAACATGCATTATTCATGTCTCGAATAATTGCATTTATATATACGCTGCTATATCCATGGCTTAACTGCCGCTGGCTTCCTGGGCCTCTTCTTCTTCCTGCCGAAGTTTATAAGGTGAGATAAATTTGCTTCCGTATATTTGGCATGACTGCTTATTTGTTAATATAGAAAAACTATTATGTGATGTGATCATGTGAGTCTGTGAGATGTCTGTTACTGCCTATGAAATGCAAACTGAAATTCAAGTTGTTGAGACTAATAGGCAGTGAGAGAATTCCTCCCATTGTTGGTTGGCCACCCTATCACGAGCAAGTGCTTCTCTCAAAGTTCCTCTCGAACCGTTTGAAGTATTAAAACTGTCAAATGTACATGATGATGGATTTGATGTAAATTCTTCCTTAACTGAAAAGGTTGATAAGCCATATTTGCCGGAAAAACCCTGGAAGGGGAAGAACTTTCGTCATGTTGGCATCATTTCTTGGATTTATGATGCCCTATTAGGATGTGCATTCAAATTTTCCAAGCTTCTCACAGCTTATCAAGACACTTGCAATATATAATAGTGAATTTGAATTTTGTTTCTTTTAAATAAGGAATTAGACAACCCAACCCTTTATCCTAAATAGAGAGAACATCTCATTATGTTGGATCCTTTTACTGGCAGGTAAATCTTGAATTCTCCAAGTTTTTATGTTGAATCCTTTTACTGGCAGGTAAATCTTGAATTCTCCAAGTTTTTGGCTATCTTTATTTCTTAACTATGTAAAAGATGATGGTGGCTTTCCAATGAAAATAACTTGCATATTAGGAGCTGAGACACCAGTGAAGCTTTCATATTTATTACTTGTTGACATACTGCATTAATTTACCATACGGATGAATAGCAGAAAAATGCACGTGATCACCACTAGTAGCTATGGAAGGCTATTAAACCTTTTTAACTGATTGAGTCCTCTTTGTTTGCCTTCTTCCCGTTTCCGAAAGGTTTTTTTCTTGCTTATTCAAACTCTACATGTCATTCCTCTTTCGAATTGTGAGCATAAGGAGCTTACCTGTTTCATTCTTCTTCTTGTGTTTTTTTGGTTCATATGATCACCCCCTTGCCAGCTCACAGGGCTCATTTCTTTCTTTGTTATGGACAAAAGCTTGCGTTTATCTGCTCAGTTAATTGTTCATTTTCTCAGTTTTAGCACATGTAATGCCTTGATGGTTATCCCAAACCCAGTTTTCCTTTTCACTTCCATGTAGTCTTTAGATCTTGTAAACTATAACAATTATGGCATGATGTCCATTATGCATGGGATCCTGATCATAACTACTCATTTTGTTGAAAAGTTTTGCCTGAAATATAACTCAGTGGGCAGTAGTCAATCGTAGTTTAAGAATTCAGTGATGGTGTTCACTCTGGCAAAGTAAAAACAACATTACTTCATGTTTGTTTGTTTTGAGTTTCAATTCATACGTGGAACAGTTAATTCTTAGTATTCAAACTTCTGTAATGATTTTTTGATACAGATTGGTGTTACCCATTACTTCTCCTATCTGAAAGCAAGGGAGGAGCTTGGCTATATCCCAATGGTGAGCCCTAGTGATGGCCTCTCCAAAACAATCTCATACTGGCAAGAGAGGAAGAGGAGAGAAATCGAAGGCCCAACTATATTCACAACGTTCCTCGTGCTCTTCGGCATGTTTGCATTATTCTGTGCAGCTTTTCTCCCGCCTCTCGGTCCAGTGAAGTGGGTATATAACCTCTCTATGTTCATGTTCCGATCTTTATGGATGACTAGATTGGCGTTCGTTGCAGCAGTAGCTTGTCATGTTGGTGAGGGTATTTATGCTTGGTATTTAGCGAGAAGAGTGGATCCCCAGAACGCTCTAGGGTGGTTTTGGCAGACCTTTGCTCTTGGGTTTTTCTCCTTGAGATTTCTTCTCAAGAGAGCAAAAAGTAATTGATATCAATCGCAGGACAACTGCTTGCTTGTTTACCATAGATTTTGTGGTATAATGTCAGGAGAGTGTATTTGTAACCTACGTTGTACAATTGTGATGCTTATGAAGTGCAGGATTAGTTCAAATCGGGTACTGTATTTTCTGCTACTGGTTTCAGTGGCAGCAAGGGAAATTTCTATGGATTGAGGATTATATAGTGAGCAAGAAGGGGAGAATAATGTTAGAAGTGTTGGTCCTTCGTCTTGCCTTCGCCTACGGAGACGAGTATGTTTCTTAGCCTGGCAAACTAGTGAATTATATCAATTATATGGAAGTCAGTGACCAAAATATTGTTCTTGTGTCTTTTTTTCCCCCCAGGGTTTTGCGTAGGCGCTTGAATTTATTATCTTAGCTATACTAGCTGCTATACAAACAAAAAAAAAAGTGTTTTTTCTATATTAATCACTTAGATATTTCATATTTTTAATTAATCCCTTAAAGCATGGAAATCGCTATAAATTCCCTAAATCTTAGGTTAGTTTGAAATTAGTACCTCAAAGCATTGAAATTGCTATTAGGTCCCTCGTATCATTGAAGTTGTTATTAGACCTCCCAAATCTCAAATTAGTGTAAGTGTTACGATAGTAAATTCATCTTGTAGAGGAGTAAAAAAGTAAAAAAAAATAAAAGGATGAGGGCTTGGAAACAAATGCCCCTTGCTAAGAAGTAGAAAAAAATGGTGTTTGGTAAAACTTTTTTTTACAGGCTTAATGAAAATATTCCTGCTTTTAAAAGGATGTTTTTAGAAGAAATCTGAGATGTTTTTAAAAGTAACTTCTACTTTTTATAGTTTTTATATATATATATTACTTAGTTTTTGACAAAGTTTTTTACTATCTTTCATTTTTTGTAGTTTTTTATGTTAGTATTTGTTTGTAGAAAAATTCTTTAAGCACCCAAAATATGGGACCAATAGGGGGGACAAGTGAGGTGTCCCCCTCCTATTGGATAATGAGTTGGCCATCATTAATGATGGCCAACTCATTATCCAATAGGAGGGGGACACTTCACTTGTCTCATTTATCGATCCCATATTTTGGGTCACTGTAGCAAAGCTCTTGTTTGTAAAAAACAAGATAGTCCCACATTAGAATTTTGAACACAAGATAGTCCCACATTAGAATTTTGAATATTCTTTTAGAGGTTTAAAAGCATTGAATGCTTATTGGGCTTTGAATAATGGATCAAAGTATAGGCTTCTAAACCCGCGTGCGGGTAGCGTGAATAATGCGCGATTTTGACGCGAATAATGTTCTATTTTTTTATATATATTGAATATATATTTTTTTTAAATGTTATTTTGAATTTTAAAAAATTATGAAAAGACAAGTGACTGTTGAAAAGTGGCTGTTTGCTCCAAGGGGTGTTTTGAAAAGTTGTGACTGTTGGAAGCACATTTTCAAAACCTATAAATAGTTTATGTTTTCAGATATCTATGAACAATTCTTTTCTGAATCTTTTCTATCAAAAACTTCTGTGATATTACAAACTTGTTTCACAACGAATTAAGGAAAATTCCAGATTTGCTTACTGGAATTTTTATTTTCTGTTGTATCCTGGGAAGAAAATTTGCATTAACCCGAAGCAACTTTGAATATCAAGTGGGGCAAATATTTCTTTAAGGAAAGTGTTTCACGCCTCAAAATTTCTGTCTCCTTCAAATTTAAAACTAACAATCTTAAAGAAATATCTCTGCTACAATGAAGTCGGAATCAATCAAGGTGATGAGTCAAGACATGGTCAAATTGGACCGATTCGACGGGAACAATTTCTCTCGCTGGCAAGATAAGATGATGTTTCTTCTTACAACATTGAAGATCTCCTACATCCTCAACCCCAACCTACAGCCCATAGAAGAAGAAATCAAAAAGCAGAAGGCAAAACGGGAGGAAGATGAAGTGTTGTGTCGCGGTCACATTCTGAACACACTTTCGGACCGATTATATGATCTTTTCACGAGGATAAAGTCGGCAAGGGAGATCTGGAACGCACTGGAATTTAAATACAAAGCCGAGGAGGAAGGTACAAACAAGTATTTAATTGCAAAATATCTAGAATATAAAATGGTTGATAACAAGTCTGTCCTAGAGCAAGTTCATGAGATGGAGGTTCTGGTTAATAAGATTCATGTTCTCAAAATAGTTCTTCCAGAGTCTTTTCAAGTTGCTGTAATTATTGCAAAACTACCATCAACTTGGAAAGATTACTCGAAGAAACTAATGCATAAAAGTGAGGATATCTCTTTGGAACAACTTCAGAAGAATCTTAGAATTGAAGAGGAGTCACACATACGTGATTTGAAAAATTCTGTCCAAAGTGATTGTAAGGTCCACACCGTGGAAAAGAATGAATCTTCGGTAAAAAAATGGAACCTTCAAGTAAAGAAAAGTGGACAACACTTTAAAAAGAAGAATTTTCAGAAGAAAAAGGGGTCCTGTTTTATTTGCGGCAAGCCTGGACATTTTGCTAAAGAATGTCGTCACAGAAAAAATAATAATGTAAAATCAAAGGCTTCTGCAAATATGATAGAAGAGAATCTGGTCGCTATGATTTCTGAAATCAATATGGCTTCTGTTAAGTCTGGATGGTAGCTTGATTCTGGAGCAACAATGCAAGGACAAATTCTTGTTCAAAGGATTTGAAGAAATTTTGGAAATTACAGAAGTGCAAATGGGGAACAATGCTTGTACAAAGGTTGCTGGAAAGGGGACTGTTGATATAGATTTTACTTCTGGAAAGAAATTGACTCTTATAAATGTTCTGTATGTACCCGAAGTTAGAAAGAACTTAGTTTCTGTTGATCTTCTTTGTAAGAAAGGGTTTCGGGTTGCTTTTGAGTCAAATAATGTTATCCTGTCTAAGAACGGGATGTTTGTGGGAAAGGGCTACTCTTGTGATGGAATGTATCAACTAAGTATTAATAATAAAGTTATATCTTCTGTTTATATTGTTGAGTCTTCATATTTATGGCATGATCGCTTAGCACATTTAAATTTTCGCTATTTGAAAAATATGAGAAAGTTAGACTTCATTAACTTTAATGGTGAATTTGATAAATGTGAAATTTGTGCTAAGTCTAAATTAACAAAGAAATCTTTTCCAAGTGTTTCTCGCAAAGATTCTAAAGTTTTAGATTTAATACATTCTGATATATGTGAATTGAATGGTATGTTAACTAGAGGAGGAAAAAGATACTTTATCACTTTTGTTGATGATTGCAGTAGATATATGTATGTTTATCTTTTAAGAACAAAAGATGAAGCTTTTGATATGTTTAAAAAATACAAAACAGAAGTTGAAAATCAACTTGAAAGGAAAATTAAAGTATTACGTTCTGATAGAGGTGGTGAATATTTTTCTGATAATTTTAATACTTTTTGTGAAGAACATGGCATTATTCATCAATGTACAGCACCTTATACTCCCCAACAGAATGGTTTAGCCGAAAGAAAAAATAGAACTTTACAAGAAATAATAAATTGTATGCTTAATAATGCTAAGTTACCTTTAAATTTATGGGGAGAAGCATTGTACACAGCATGTTATATTCATAATAGGATTCCCTCTAAAAAGTCAAACATAAGCCCTTATGAGTTATGGAAAGGTAGAAAACCTAATCTGTTATATTTTAAAGTGTGGGGGTGTTTGGCTTATTATAGAATTCCTGATTCTAAAAGAACAAAACTTGGACCTAGAGCCTTTAAAAGTGTTTTTTTCGGATATTCTGAAAATAGCAAAGCATATAGACTACTTGATTTATCTTCTAATACTATTTTTGAATCTAGAGATGTTGAATTCTTTGAAAATAAATTTTATGTAGATTCTGAAAATGTTGAAAATGTTCATATTCTGCTTAACTCTAATAATAATTCTAGTTCTGATTTTCATGCTAAGGAAACGAATACATCTAAAGAAACATCAGAGCCAAGAAGAATTACTAGAGCAAGAAAAGAGAAATCTTTACCTTCAGATTTTATTTCTCCTGAACAAATTATTTTTCTTGTTGAAGGTGATAGGAATAATAATGTTTTAAATAAACATCCTATAAGTTTTAATCCAAGTGATGATCCTAAAACCTTTATAGAAGCAATGTCATCTAGAGATGCTTCATTTTGGAAAGAAGCTATCAATGATGAAATGGATTCTATAATGGGAAATAGTACTTGGATTTTAGTAGATTTACCTCAAGGATCAAAGCCAATAGGATGTAAATGGGTTTTTAGAAGAAAATATCATTCTGATGGTTCTGTTCAAGCTTTTAAGGCTAGATTAGTAGCCAAAGGGTTTAGACAAAAAGAAGGCATAGATTATTTTGATACATATGCACATGTCGCACGTATAACATCTATTAGAATTCTTATTGCTTTGGCATCTATACATAAGCTATTTGTGCATCAAATGGATGTCAAGACTGTTTTTTTAAATGGAGATTTAAATGAGGAGGTTTACATGGAACAACCGGAAGGTTTCATTCTTCCAGGAAATGAAAAAAAAATATGTAAACTAATTAAATCTCTTTATGGTCTTAAACAGGCACCAAAACAATGGCATGAAAAGTTTGATTCTGTTATTCTGTCTTATGGTTTCAAACATAATAGTGCTGATAAGTGTATTTATTCTAAATTCACTGATAAATATGGTGTGCTTGTCTGCTTGTATGTGGATGACATGTTAATATTCGGCACTAATATGATTGGTATAAATGAGACTAAAGAGTATCTATCTTCTATGTTTAAAATGAAAGATTTAGGAGAAGCGGATACTATTTTAGGGATTAAAGTTAGAAAACATAGTGGGGGTTTTTCTTTAAGCCAATCACATTATATTGAAAAAATAGTGAATAAATTTAATCATCTTGGTTTTAAAGAAGTTAACACTCCTTTCGATCCCAGTGTCAAATTGACTGCCAATTCTGGTAGAGCTGTAGCACAGCTTGAGTATGCTAGTACAATTGGTTCTTTAATGTATGTTATGCATTGTACTAGACCTGATATTGCATTTGCTGTATGCAAATTAAGTAGATACACTAGTAATCCAAGTGTAGAACATTGGAAAAGTATTTCCAGGATTTTTGGATATTTAAAGAAAACCAAAAATCTGTGTTTGTTCTATAATGATTATCCGACTGTATTAGAGGGATACACCGATGCAAGCTGGATGACTAGTGTTGGAGACAACC